GATTCGTCAATCAAAGCTTTAGTAAGAGCGATGGAAGCATTCAGGCTAGCCTCAGAAATGAAGGTCAATTGGAAAAAAAACATAGGATGGTGGCTCACAGAAGAGGAGAGACCCCAGCTGGAGGGACTGGAAGCGGATATGACATGGGAACAACCCGAAGAACCAACTAGGTACCTGGGTATTATGGTCTCCAAGGAAGGCCCAACCCCACAAATGGCGCAAAAGCGGCAAAACCTGTTAACTAAGCAAATCAACAGAATGGGGAAATGGGGAGACCAATATACTTCCCTGCTAGGGAGGGCCCTAACGCTGAACACCTCCATCTTATCGATGATGTGGTACATCGCCTCCATCTGGACAATACCTGACCACACGATCAAAGAACTGAATAACAGAACACGAGCGTATCTATGGTCAGGGGACCCTAACAAAACGAGATACATCCCCAAAATAGCATGGCACTTCATAACGAGGGAGCCTTCTAAAGGAGGGCTAGGTATAATTGACCCCAAACAGGAAACAAAAGCCCTACAGATGAAATGGATAATTAAACTGCTAACTCAACCAAGGCTGGCCTGGCACAAGCTTGCACTTGATAGTGTACGAGCCATAGCCCCAGTCCAATCACCGGTGAATATGTCTGGACTATTATGGGTCATGAATAAGGACGGGTCTCCCAAGACAGGAAGGAGAAGGCGGAGGCAGACTTCACAACAAAGTGGGGCCACCTCTCCAACCGCTTACTGGTCAGCCCTCATCTGCATCTGAAGAAACATCATGCTGAGTATTGACGTGAGGATGGGATGGGAAGGTGGTCTCAACTTCAGGACACCCACGGCCTACAGCTCCAGGTGATCACTGTGCAGTCAGTGACCGGCCTCTACAACACCATGGACTTTTTTCGAAAAAAAAGAAAAAAAAAAGAAAAGAAAAAAAAAGAAAAAAAGAAAAGAAAAGAAAAGAAAACCGAAGTCCAAAGAAGAGGTTCTACGACAGCCCCTTTTCGGAAACCAATGCATAAGAGATGCGGGGGACTTACCCCTGTCCCTATCTAACGGACAATGGTGGCTTTCATGGGTTAAACATGGAATCTGGAGGGTAGCACACATATGGGACGAAGAGAGGAAAGAATGGATAGGTGAAGATCAATTGAGGCAACGCCTGAAAGGATGCCACAACAGAGACGAAAATCTGACTACTGTAGTGAATAGCATCCCAGATGGCTGGAAAGAGCTTCTACAGGAAGAATTCACATGGAAAGCGGGGGAGTTCAGGAAGCTAAACCGGAGAGAGCTTATCCATTTTATCGCAGATCCTCGAGTGCGGACCTATCGACAGTTTTCACCTCCTTCCCTATAGACCACTCTAATCCCAAAACTCTCACCATCAACAACGTTGACCCACAAGAAGCAACCCTCAACTCATACACACTTCGTAAAATAAAAGTTTTGGGTACATGGCCAAAAACAATATTCTAAGCCAAAACTCCAATCCAGAACCTAGAATTCGACCCAGAAGAATGGGCTTGGCTCTCGAGAAGCAATAGACTTTGCAAAACACCCATCTCGATAACGCAGTACACAGTCAAAATGGGATATAGGATGCTACTAAAAATGAAGGACCCGGAACCGGTTATCAAGCGAGGATGGACCAAACTGCTTGGTCAGAGAATGGAACCAATCCCAAAATTTCCTTGGAGAAAATACAAATCAATTCATCCAGTCAAAATCAAGTCTTCAATGGTTAATCACCTACAATGCCATCCCAGTGAACACATGGTTACATGTCCGCAGGCGAAACAGTGACCCTAACAGTTCAGAACAATGCGCCATATGCTCTGATACGAACAAGAGGACATGTTACACTGTCTGATAACTTGCAGCTTTGCTACTGACATATGGGCGAGAGCTGCAGCTGTCTGGGACCACTTATTTCCTTCTCCCTTACCTGAACACCCCATCCAGCTACTCCTATGGACTAACCTCCCCTCACAATTCAACAAGTCGGAGCGCATCTGGTTCGGGATAATCAGAAAGGTGACACTGTGGGTAATATGGAAGGAAAGGTGCAATCGGACCATTGACAACTCCAGCATACCGTCGGAACAAGTATGGGCATCAACGAAAATCATGGCTACGATCCGGACGTCTGGACCGCCGTCCAGACGGTCCGGATTTGGTCCGGAATCCGGACGTCCGGTCCAGACGGGCCGGATCTGCCAAATTTCGAGGAAAAAAAAACAAAAAAAAAACGGTCCAGGACCCTTCCCCATTGAGGAGCCAAGCCCCCAAAATTGTTTTGAGGGTTTTTCAGGCCTATTTACGCTTTTTTGGGGGGTCCGGACATGCTCTCTCTCTATAATAATTTATTAGACAACCCCAAGTTTTTTATTATGAATAATTCATTACCTTTTATTAGTTTTTAAAACTTTTTAAAGTCTTTTTTTCAGCTTTTTATAGTTTTGAAACGGTAATCACCAGTTCGCAGTAGCGAATGCAGATCCCAGGGCTCGATCCCTAGTTCCCTATCTTACCTGTGTACAGTATTGATGTCAACCCGTAGACTTGAACCCGCGACCTGTAGGATCGCCAGTGGTAGGCAGGGTTTCGTAGGTCACAGCTTAGAAGGGAATCGAACTGTAGACCTGTAGGGTAGGAGTCTAGACAGTCCCAAAGTCGTAGCTGTAGGATGCCTGAAGAGTCAAGGTCGTAGCTGCTACTTACCTGAAAGGGCAAAGTCGTAGCTGCTACAGTACSGAAAGGCCAAGTTCGAGACTTCTAGAAGTGGCCTTTCGGAGTTGGCCTGTGTTCAACAGAGGCAAGTGGTCAAGTGGTGGTAGTCCACCTAGCCCAGTCAGCAGTCCCAGKTAGTCAGTCCGGTCCTGTTCRGCAAGTACCGTCTGGGACTGTGTGCACATCGTGGGCCAAGGGATACAGGGCAGACCAACGCAGCGCAGAAGTATAAATCAAGAGGCTGCGTCCAGCCATTCATTCATTCCTGCGGATGCCATGCGGAAGCGCTACCCCAGCAGCTTGTGCGAGGAGGTCTGCAGTGCACCCGAAGACGAAGAGGGCAGTGAAGTGTAGTGTAGCGATAGGATAGTGGCAGCCATAGCTGCCATAGCTATAGTAGCGTGTGTGTGTGTGTGTGTTGCGTGTAGAGTGTTGCGTGTGGGACATCCAGGGTGATCCAGAGTGCGAACAGTGAGTTGTGTGGGCGCTCAGTCGCCATAGCCAGTTGAAGAGAACTCCTACCTGGTTACGATATCTTGAGTACTGTGTGGGCGCATGTCGCCAG